CAATAAAAATACACTTGAATAACGTTTTCACGAATATGTCTCGGTGGATTTCTAAAGGTTATACTACCAGACTACCTACTCTGTGAACTGGGTGAAGTCATAGATGTAGTCCATCCCAGCTAGTCTTCACCTCATACAGTAATGAAACGAATAAAATAAATAATATCTACTACGGCTAAACATACCAAAATAAGTTCAATCACACCGATTGATTATAAACGACACATTTTCTGTCTAAATACTAAATACTAAGACGTTTGAAATGTGCACGACAGTTTTTATTTCAACAAGTAACAACCGTTACATTTTGTACAATACCTACCTCTGAAAAACACTTAGTGACCGGCGTTCTAATATCCGTTTTTATCCAAGACATAACAACTTCGTTATATTATGTATGTATAGCCTTTTTCGAAGACTTTTGTTTGCCAATCGTTTATACGCCAATGTAATGCATTAAGGTCAGCTTTGAATGTCACTCAAGAGTCAAGGGATAACAACAGAAGCTCACAATATTTTTACAAGCTAATCCTGTTCTCCGGGCTTAGTAACAGTCAAATGGTTTTCTTTCAAACAATCATTCTTTTAATTATTTAATAAACATATTCAAGCAAGAAAAAGTATCTGGTTATAATAACTATTCTACAACGAATCATCAAATTACTAAAACTAATATTATTACTCCATCATTTTTTTACTTTTCATTGAAGTATGACACTCAATGCTCATGCAATTAAAAACTAAAAATAATATTAACTTCACTTATTTTGCTACCCAAAAAAGTGTATAAACGCTTCCATCAAAATAGATGGCACACGTCATATAGTATATTATTCTCATGTCACATATTATGTTTACTATCACTCTATCAAAAAACCTGCCACGGAGACTAAATCGAAAATGATGTAGAGATCTGATGAGGTGTTACCAAATGTTTTTCTTCCTCAATCACGACATTCATGTCATTTTTTCTTATAAATAAAATATTTACTTATTGTAATAGTTTTTTCCAGATTGTACTTAAGTTTCTTTAAACTTAAAGTACAAGTTTTCAAGAGTAACATTTATTAACTAATTTAAATTTATAAAATATATTTTTAATAATATCTAGTTGTATTTAATACAACATAAATGTAGCTTCTTAAAACTCCATGCGTTTTGTACAAATTAACAAGGGAAAAAATAGATCTATCAAGCCTCAAAAAAATAACCTCGATCAATTATTAAATATTTTTAGGTCTCATACTCTCTTTATATCTTATAAGAGATATTTTTGACGAAACTCCTTATCTCCTTGTGTGTCTTAAACGTTCCTTTTGAAAAACACAAATAAAACGTAACTAACCTATGCGTCAAAATAAATAAACAAAAAAAATAATAAAACTCTGAACATGTAGAAGTAGAGCAATAAAATATTATGTTCGCAATATTATTCCATCCAAGTTTAAATGAAATAAAAAATCAAACAATATTTTTTCTTTGTGTAGGTGTATAATTTACATAATAGGTATAATAAATTGCTATTTTTGCATCTAACGCTGTGCTGTAAAGGCATCGACGAACCCCAACCACTCTCTCGACACCCCTCCAACAACCCGTACCACCGATCCACACACATCGTCGTAATTTCTAGCAACAATTGGTATTGTTTAGCCTTTATGGAACCCATCTATACCATTTATACCAACACCGATGGATGATTGAAGTTCAAATTCAAACCATAATGTTTACGAACGCTGGACTGAATTGACGTTAAAATACAAAACGATCGACCCATCACTGTGGTGGGCTACATTAAACCAAACTTTTTTTCCCCTGACGGACTTTTAAGCTATCAAAATAATTACACTGATTAAATTATTTAATGGTTTACAAGTTGTAGCCCAGAACAATTGGCAAACCACTAAACCATATCCTTTTAATATAATTATTACTATTATTTTTAGTTCAGAGACCTAAATCGACTTAGATTTATTGTATTAAACGATTTTAGGCGAAAACGTTTAAGATTTTTACCAGACGAAAACACTTGAACTGTATTATAACGTACCAACCTTGAACCTATTATTATCAAAATTATGTTCACAAAATCATTGGAATAGATTTAAACCCTTGAAAGGTACCTATTTTTTAATATTGTTTAATTTCAGTATAACTTGATAAATTCTAAAAAGTTACTTAGACATACTCCAAAATTAGTATTCAACTAAATAAAAGCTTCATTTTTATAAAATAATTTCTATGTATAACTTCGTTTCTAATAAAATCGTGTTTAATTCATCAAATTGATTTGGGTTTTAATAATATCTTGGTACAAGTTTGAATATTTTCTATCAGGATAATGCCCGGTAAAGTAACCAATAAATTATAATTGGAAACAAATAAAAATATATAAATGTGTATTCTTTAGTAAAGTGTAACTAGTTGTTTTTTCATGCTATTCTTCAATGCAAAATAAAGATAAGAGTGCTATAAGTGATTTTCGCTGGGAAACTATTTTACGGGGACATGGCTTAATGCGCGTCTAAGCGTAAAATTCGTATAAATACATTTTTTATAAAACAAATCACAATGTGCCATCTTTGACGTCGCCTCATTTTGTAAATGATTCACATCCGTTAAGATAGATATCTTCGTCTAGGTTCCATTATATAGTGTTGGATGATTTTCATCTAAGGTATTTCTCAACAAATGATTTACAGTAAGTAATCCTTTAAGTATCAACCAATGAAACTGATGGTAGGTAGCGAAATATTAATACCTCATGATTTCATTATACGGGGATTAGGTTATACCTTATTGTGATTTTCATATGGAACTTTTCCCTGGTTTTGGACGAAAACTCATAATGCCATAACGTTAAAATAAAAAACAGAATAAAGTTTTTTTTTTTTTTTATAATAAATCGATAGCAATAAATCGTTTTTATCCATCATTAAAAAAAAAAAAAATAATTAAACACCAGCTATGCGCATATACCTAATAAAATAACGTACTATAAATTTACATATTAAATAATCAATTTTAATTAAATAAAAACAGTAAATAAAGATAAGCTAATGCAGTAATACATGATTAATATATATGAAAAAATGAGTGATTAAAGTTAAATAAGCCATTTTAATGAATTCGAAACACAATTTATAACAATAAAGTTGAAATTAAAAAATATATTTAGTAATTTTTTTATTAATATACAAAAGATTCTAATGTGGTTATTTTTTTTAATAATATTCATATAAAAATTATCATTAATTTTATAATTTAGTCCATTAAATACTAAATTATATTACGATTTGTAGTGATCATATAATTATCATAGACCTATTAACCATTTATTGATTAAATTTTCTTTGATAGTGATTACTTATTAATTTTTTTAATTATTATCAATGAAACTATGTGTTTATAATATCATCGATAGTAAAAACATGTTGACATTGGTCTATTAAAGATAAAATTTATTTTTATTTTATCAAAATTAATAATTTAGGCGATATATGATAATTTTTAGTTGCTCAAACAATATGCTAAAATAGATACTAAGACAATTTTATTGTGTTTACTTGTTATCTTCTACAGTTACCTTGTTATGTTCATATTTGTATACATTTATAGGTACTTTTTATGGATATTTTGTTTGACCTTTGACAGTACATTATTATATACAGCTTATATTTGGGATCGTAAAATAATCCCCGTATCAATATAAAACACATTTTGTAATATTTCTAAAAAATAAAAGTATGAAATTGAAAATATTGTTACGTACTTAAAGAACAAATAATATGTCAAGAACACAAACTGCATTGCTTTATACTCAATAAGAACATTAACCTCTTTCTTTTTTCATTTAAAATTGAAAACACACTTACTGTAAATAATAACTATTTATGTATAATGTATACATACAAAATATCTCATATTACTTACCTGTTATAAAAAAAAATAGTTACAACGCATACGTTTTATAATTTATATAACAGCTATAGATGCAATATACTATATACAAGTAACTTATAGAAGTACAAAGGAAAGGATATTAAAATAATATAAGCAAATTGATTTTTGTATTATTTAATTTAAATGTTTGCACGAATTCAAGATGTCAAGTATGTAAGACTGAAGTTCAATTTTAATAATATGATCATCTCTTATAATAAATTACAATACACAATTTATTATTAAGGCACCTATTTAGTTAAACTAAAATATAATATATAAAAACGGCAACAATCATCAACTTGATAATAAACTATTGCTATTGCTAACAAACAATCCCCTTGAAATAAATCCAAAACAATCCATTACTAAAGGATATTAATGAATCTCTTAATAACACAAACACACCAAAAAGAAAACACTCAATTTAAGTGTTGAAGAAACAACAGCTAACTCTGTATAAGAAACCTAAAATTAATCAAGGTAATAAACAATTATACATTTTATCGGCATACAGAGTCAAATTACTGAAACAACAAACATAATATCTATCCCAAAAATAAAGTCATCAATAAATCTAAAATACCATAAAAATATAATTCCTCAACACGAAGCAACGATAAATTAGACGAACAACTCTAACCACCAACGAACATATTAACAAAATATTGAATCGCTTCAATCATAATATCACATTTAAATAAATTATAGAAAATTAACAAAAATATAGGCATGCATAGTTTTCGTAAAAAATTATTGAAACCAATGCACCTAGTAAGTTTACTAAAATTGTTGAAAATTTAAGACCTGCATAATGATAATTGTTGGTTATTTTGGTTAATATTTTTAATGTTTTGCTAAAATTACTAAGCTAAATATCTAACCTCTAACAGTTGTTTCAAATCATGCCCCCCTCCCAGTGCTCGAAATGGAAAATTTTCTGAACCGGAACGCTTTTTTTTGAGTACATACCATAGAATTGGGGGCTTCACCCAACAAAATTACTAACCCTTTTTTAATAATAAATAAGTTGTGTCTATTATTTTATGAAACTCACATTATATTTTCAGCCCTTTTAAAAATTTAAATATATTTTTACCATCATTCGAAAGTGGCCAATTTTTTGGATTCAATTTTTCAATATTATCAAGTAAGTTTTTAAACGTTTTTTCATTGTCTTGGCGATTTTTTTCATTACGACTGACATTTGATGAACTGGAAGTCATCATTCGAGATTTTAAATTATTAGCTAGGCTTTTGTAAAATTGTGCAGAATTTATTTTAGGAACTTTGCCACTGTGTAATATTACATTTTTATACGACATTTTGTTCTTTATTTCTTTTAATGCGTCAATTAGTTTTGGACCCGGATCGGTTGCCATAGAATCTAATACACGTATTGTTGTTCTTATAGATTTATCAGCGTCTACTAACGTAATAGTGTAATACTACGTTTTTGTAAATATTCTGATAAATCTCCTAATTCGTCTAAAGCATCAGACATGGTATTTAAATTACTAACAAATTCTATACTTGTTATCATTTTAAACAATCCACAGTATTTACTTCTTTCATTAGAGTCTCTGGTAGGGTCCATTGAAGCCAAGTTGAAATGTTCACACAAATTATTTAAGACTGCATTAACTGTCCGTTTGCTTGATGCTACCCATCGAACTGACAAAATTCTACCAATTTTCAAAATTTGTACTTCTAATGAAATAGCAGCATTTTTTTAAACTCGTTTTGGTTTTTAGGTGACAGTAAAAATTTGTTTGAACCGGAACGATAGACGTATTTTTTTTACGAACCGGAACGCTAAAAATTTTTTTGTCGTGAACCGGAACTGCGTTCCGGTGCGTTCCGGTCCATTTCGAGCCCTGCCCCCTCCCCCACAGAAGACAAACCCAGTTGCAACATAAACAATAGAATAAGCCCCACTTATCAATTGTCATCGTCCAAAATATGAGCACAACTAAATATATCAACGGCACTCAATGTAAAAAGCACCGAAATAATTTATAAATTGTTTCTTAATTTAAGATTTTAGATTTTTTTACATCTTCTTTCAATACTAAATTACGCTTAGAACCACATTACTGTAGAAGCCTTAACAAATAATAAAAAAAAATGTATATACTTATAATATATAAATATATAGTGTCGCTCAAGTAGTTTCACAAGTACACTTAATCAATAACCATCGTACCATTAGTAAGCTTTATACATATATGTTTTATTAAAAACCACTAAATGTGTAGTATCAAGTATCAATAATGCAAGTAATGCAACATTGTTTCAAATTCCGTTTGGAGGTTTCTGATAAAATATTCTTTTAAATCTATATAACCTACGTCATACATATTTATATGGCTTACATGTTACAACCCAATAGAATGCATATCAAACACTATATCTTCAAAGATTATCAAATATTGAAATATTGCATTAAATAATATATTTAAACGTAAAATTGATAAAATCTAAGCCAATACTTTGAAACTGTTATGTAGAAATTCCGAAATGCAATTGAATATCACAATTGAAAATCGTAAACCTTTACAAAACTGGAAATTTAATTTGAGTTATTTGTTTACATTTTTGTCAAATGTGTGTTTATTATCGTCTATTATTACCATATTATATTATTGAAAAATATTATTTTGTTAATTAATAATTTGAACCAAATTAGTAAAAATAGATTACCTATCTAGTAATACAATTTACTGTTAGAATACCACTACCAGGTGTATTAATATTAATATAAATTCCATGTTGGCGAAAATGTGTAGACCGACTATGCGATAAGTACATAGGTATTTCATAGCCAGAGGTTCTTGGAAAGGCAATGAATATAATATAGTTTTCAACTTTAAACTTTAGCCCTTATTAGTCAAACACAGTTATCTTGATTCAAAAAGGTAAAACAAAAGAGCTAACTCTCTGCATACTTTTTTTATATCTATAATTTAATACAATCACAAAACTAAAAAGGGGGTAAGTGGATGTCACAAGTGGGTTACTGTAATGGATGATATTAAATTTGAATTCAATGATATAATATAATTGTATACGAAACACAATTTTGAGCGGAGACAGTTTGTCTTTCTAGGACATTTTATATTATATTTTTATTGTTATTACTAATTATTAATACGGTAGCCATTAACATTTTATAATATAAAAAATCGTGATTCTAGGTTATTTAATATGTAATTTCGTCCAAATTTGAACTTAAAATAACAATAAAAACAAACTGTGTTTATGTATATTTTTGTATTTTTTGGTTATAGAATTAATTACTTACGTGGGACCTTGTTTTAAATTTTCAATCCTTAGCTATAAAAGTTGAACATTTTATAAATTTTTTACTAGAAAATCATTTTTAAATGTTGTCATAATATGAACTTAAAATGCTTATGAAAAACATCGTTCTTATTTATTTATTTATAAAATAATTTAATTATTTCAATTAATTTGTTGTTAGTGGATGAGAAGCTAAAGTCAGTTGATTTTTGAGACACAGAAATTCTAACTTTAAAATAATTGCTTACGTAAAATAATTTTAACAAATAACTTAAAATAAGAAGAGCCTTTGGCATATATCAGTACAAAAAACAAAATTATAATTAATTCCTAATACACCTAATATAATATTTTTTTATATCTTTATGAATAATTCATATAATTTTTACTTAAATACTTTTTGAAAGTAATTACGAATAAAATTGAAATGATCTCAAGTATGAAATTAGATTAATATAATAATGTTATTTATTATATAATTATTTATTTAAGATCTCATTCTTGAAAACTATAGGGATTTAATTTTCTTCTATGAAATATTGTGAAAAGGAATTTATGAACTTAATTTTCTGTAAAGTAAGTATGTTCAAATACATATATATTATAATATTATGAAAAATATATTGTTACCGTGATATTAACGTCAACCCAGCAAACAGTTATTAATACTTAGCCAACTTATCCTTACATTTACGTTTGTAATTTTAATTTGTTATGTGACTTCCATATAACAAATAAAAAAACAATTTGACTCATATCAACATTTAAGAATTATAATCAGTTGCCAATCAAACTACAGTTAAATAAAATATTATAATAGGTTTATGATAATTTGTTACTACGTATATCATAATAATATGTATCTATGTCCAGTATTATCATTTTCACCAACTTCGGCAACTGTCCAGCGGATACGTATTGACACTACGATGAAATCACAAATGTACTCAATACCTATTCATGCTCTAAAAGTCTAAACTCACGAACAACAATCTGAACAAGCGTTTGTATATTTTATCAAAAGTATCTCGAGTACATGATTATTTGAAATTCAATTTAATAGTAAATACGCATTTCTTACGATTTTTATTGTTTTAATTGTGAAAGAACAAATGTTCAATATTGTATTTTGGTTATTAACATTAACAAATATTAGACTAGGAAACAGGTTTGAATAAATAGGCAGTCCTATTTATATGGGTATTAATATTTTTATATTTTATAATTTATTTCTCACTTCATTAATTTGTTTTTCTCGGTTATACCACGCCAAAAAAATGTTTTCTCTCTACCTTTTCAGCACATGGTTTGCCAAAATGTGTTGTCAACAACAATTGCAACGTCGCCGTCATTTGGGCGTAATGACAAATTAGGGGCAATGCGATATTAAGTGATGGCAAAAAAAAATTCCTTTGACTTGTATCCAACTTTAGAGGTTACCTAATGTCCTTATGCTGGGCAACCTGTTAAATTAATCGACAACGTGTCTACAATATTGATACATTGATTAATACATATAATAATCAGGAATTAACAAAACTAATTGTATATCTTATGTTTCTTTGATAATTACTTTTACTTTATAATTATCAACAAACGATCGATAACTAATCTTTGTAATTATATAGGTACACTACTATTTTTTAAGTACTACACTACTAGGTATATTACCCTAGCAATAATTATCAATGAAAGTCTAAAATGAATAATGTTAATCATGTACTCTGAAACAAATTTAAAAAAAAAACCATTATATTCATTCTGGTAAAAATATTCTTAAAAACTACATATAAAATTATAGTAAATATGACATATATATTATTATTTAGGTGTATTTTACCTAAATATATATTTTTTATTTTTTATTAACGTTTTCGTTTGTTTGAGCATTCATAAAATATGATTTATAATACAAGATATGAGAACATACAAATGTTGCTATATTTAAATATATTTTCCATTGAAAGTGTTCAAGTAATATTATTTACAATCCAAGCTATAAGATAAAACGTCCATAAATGATTACATTCTAGCACCATTATTTTTTATTTTAAGATTCCGTGAAATACAGATTCTGCCGAGTATGTAGAAATAACCATTGCTCTATAATAAATTCCATCCATTCATTTGATTACTTTTATTTATTTATTGTCGTAACTGTTTCTGACTTATTGAAATAAAAAAGTATAACGTTTTATAAAAACACATTTTTCTGTGCATGAGTGTTTTCATTTTAGTGATTTGAAATAAAAGGATAGGACTCATTTAAATCCTCTAGGAGAGATAAATTTTCGGTATTTGGTACTTTAAGTGTTTCAATATTCTAAATTTTCCAAAGTTTCTTTGGGAAACAAAAATACAGACGTATGTGAATAAAACTCACATAAACGACTAAAACTCGGACAAACTGTACTAAAACTTAGAGGGTAACATTTGTGTTTTATTTAGACGTGGTTTCACCCTGCGTATTGTTAAAGGCAAACTTTGAACAAAATGCGACGTTGATAAAGGAATTTGTACAAATACACAAAAAATAAAATGCTTCTACTTTTTTCTGAAATACCTATTACAATATTATCGATCGGCACAATGCTTGTCATTTTTATACCACACGATAAATAGATAACCTAGTATAATATAATGGTATAATATTATGTATCTAACAACCATCGTGAAGTTTCTAGAGTCAACAGGTTTATTAGAGTGGAAAAAATGACGCCCTTCCCTCATTATTAGCCACAAAATGAATGTTTTTTAAAGTATAAATATGATTTGAAATAATAAAACAACAATATATTAACCTTTACCTACCTACCTAATATTTTTCTATATGTTTGCAAACTTTAATTTTATTCGTTGGATGTTATGAAGTAACAATATGCAGACCTCAATTAACCTTAATCAATATTTTGAAATGTTTGCACACATGTTAGTAAATATATTTCGAAGAGATATTATTATATTTTTAAATGGACGACTGCAAAACAGTTGAATAAGGTCCGTTTAACGGGCAACGTTTAAAGGGATGAAAACGCATTGGAATATAAGTTAAATGAGTGTATAATAAATAATACACGTCATATATAATTGTATATTACATAAATAATTATAAATTAATATGAAACATTAAATCGTGTATGAACGTTTTCAAAGGATCCTACCGTGAACCTTTCCACATGACTTTGGGCGGTTGTAGTTAAAACGTTCGGAAGTGGAACGCTTTACATTCGACTATATTATGAGTTCATCGTCAAAAGTCGATTTTAAAATTCCATGCTCGAGGCTATATGAATGGACCACAAAGTGAAAAAAAATGATATTATATGGATATCATTTAATTTTATTATAAAATATTGACACCGGTCATAGAGTCGATCGGTTAACTCGAAAAGCCGTGCATATTATTTATGATCGTACCCGATCCCAAGATTTGTGATTACAAATTATTATTAGTACCTATCTCACGACAATAATTATTAATATTACTAAATCCACTCTATATGACTATATGTATACGATAATAATTTCAAAATGTATTTAATTAATCTTGGGTGATCCATTTAAAACGAGATGATCCCATTTTACATGTCCCTTTACACATGTACGTAATAGAGTCAGCAGTACAGTTTCTATTCCACGTTTCTGATTTTAATCAATTCATGACAACAAATATGTTTTTACTGTTGATCGAAATAATACTCACGAACATAATTTTAATATAAAATTGTTCAAATGGTCTAATGGTTAATCAAACAGAATCTCGATATAATATAATTAATTTCACATTTTAGATTCTGAGTGAAACGATGATGTGTGTTTTTTTTCATTTTTTTTTGTGTCTGTCATCACCTTTTAGGACAGTAAAACTAGTTAAAGTGCTTGGATTTTCTTCAACTGTATTTTTTCTGATAGGAAAGTGAATCTAGTTGGTACTTTGGGGGGTCAAAAGTAAAAATTTCCCAATTGTTTTTAAAAGCGACGTGAAAAACAAAAGAAAAATTAAAGAAAAACGGGAATTTTTACGCAAAATCTGTTTTTGAGAAAGTCGATTTTGGCTTTTGATGCAACTCTAAAACAAATGACCGTAGATACATGAATTTTTAACTGACTATTTATATTAGCATTTTCTTTACACCATGCCTTTTTAAAATATTTTGAATTATTTTGAGCTGTTTAGGGACATTTTCAGTTTCCAATTTTTTTAGTTTTTTATTCTATAAATATCAATACAATATTATTTGTTGGGTACAAAAACTTGAAAATGTAATAAAAGTCTTCTACTATATTGTTAAAATAGTAGTTCAAAAAGATTAAAAATTCTTAGTCACAGTTTTTTTTTTGTAAGCATTTCAAGTTCAAATCTTGACAAAATACTGAAAAATCACGAAAATTAGCAAATTATTGATTTGAGAATTCATAAAAATTTTTATTTTTAAATCGAAGACTTGAAAATGTAATACACTATCACTCATAAGTTTATCTACCTTTCTCAAAAACAAATGTCTACAAGCAAATCAAATTACATTTTATGAGCCTTTGAAGTTCATATTTTTACAAGATTGGATATTCACTCGATTTTTCATGTAGCGGTTTTGTTATTTTATTGTTATTCAATAACAAATAACTGTAGATACATGAACATTTTACTGAATGTTTATATTTTCATTTTTTATACACCAAAAAAATTTGAAAATATTTTGACTCTTTTTGAGCTGTTTACGGACATTTTCAGTTTTCAATTTTCTTAGTTCTTTTTTCTATAAATATCAATAACATTTTATTAGTTGGGTAAAAAAGCATGAAACTTGAATGCAAGGCTCCTGATATATTGTAACAATAGCAGTTGAAAAATATTAAAAATACATAGGCACAATTTTTTTTTATAAGCATTTAAAGGTCGAATTTTGACAACATTTATCATATTCAAAATTTAACAATTATTTTGTAGTTAAAAATTTATAAAATGTTCAACTTTTATAGCTAAGGATTGAAAATTTAAAACAACGGTCCACGTAAATTGGTAAATATATAAATTACTTTATTCACAATAATATCATCAAATATACTTAGTAATATCTAGGCTGACTGACCATTTTCACTCAGAATCGTTTTTCTTATACAATGATATTATATCATTGAATTCAAATTTAACACCATCCATTACACATTACAGTGACCCACTTGTAACCTACTGTACAGTAGAGAGACTTTTTTAAGTTAATTTATTTCAAATTTATAAAAAAATTAAAATCTAAAATGCTTATAAAAAAAATGGTAGTTTTTCGACCCCAATTCAAAATGGAGTTTCTAATGCCTTAAAAATAACGATATTTAGAGAAATATTAGTAACGGATGTTTGGTTGTGGTTGAGAAGGGTACACATATAAGATTCACGTTTTGTTTTTCAAACACGGATCACCCTAATATTGAACTTACAACAACAACAATAACAGTAAACATAATGATACTTATGAAGATAAAACCGCATGACGGGATTAATTATTAACTGGATGCGTTTTATGTTTGACTGCGAATGCAGTGTAGTGGAACGATAGGGAGCGGTGCACGTGGTGGCGACGGGTGCCGATGCTGTTCAATGGTACGCCGGTCGGTGGGCGAGTACCAGTGCCCAGTGCTGATGGTGGTACCCAGCAACGGCCACAACGCAGGACGTCCGGCGGCCGCGGCCACCAAGAAGCCCGAGTCTGGCGGAAAGAAGCTCAGGTTCCAGCTGGCCAAGGAGCGGAAGGCGTCCACCACGCTGGGAATCATTATGAGCGCGTTTACCGTGTGCTGGTTACCGTTCTTCGTGCTGGCGCTGGTCAGGCCGTTCCTCAGCGACCCATCCAGCATACCCAGCTCGTTGAGCAGCCTGTTCCTGTGGCTGGGCTACGCCAACTCGCTACTGAACCCCGTGAGTATTATAAATAATAATATTTCTGTATTTAGGAATAGGTACATCCACCACCTTTGTGACTTGTCATTTGTTTCTTTTTTTTCGTTAAGTTCCTTATTCCTAAGCGAACTTCTGCACGTTATGCCTCAAATATAACTTGTAAACATTTCCAGAGCAAGAAAAAAACGATTTATCAACGTTTTAAAGTCATCGAAGATTGGTTTATGTAAAAAATTATTTAGTCAGTGATTGCAATGTAAAATTTCTCTCAATTATTTGTTAATTGCTTAACTTTAAAGTTATTTTGTTATGTTATTAATTTATCGTTAAATATAGGTACTACATTTTGGGATAGGCGTTGAGAGTGTTTAAAATGTGGTGCATCTCATATTTATTAGGTTTATCACTTAATTAAAGAGTTACAAAACGAGTAGAAAAATACCAAAATAGTGTACGAGTCGATTCTTTGTGGAGTACTGAAGTACTTAAAATTAGCGAAAAAATACAAGCTGAGAGAGAAAGGTATATACACAAAATGTAATAATAAGAAGAGAAAATATAACGAGTCTTCAGTTCTTAAGTTAAATTGAATATAATATGAAATTATGATTATTTAAATTAAGTAAATTTGTATATGTTTTATTAGTTAATTTTTTGTTTTTAAATAAAGTTATAATAATTTTATCCTATATTTTATCAGGTTTTATTAATTAAGGAACTTTTTAGTTTTTATATGTTTTATTAGGTATTTTATTTGTCGTTGTTTTGATTTGTCGACATTTTAATCGATATTTCGTACCTGTCGACATTTTGACTGTCAGTGTTATGACCTGTCAACATTTTGACTGTCAGTGTTATGACCTGTCGATATTTCAACTGTCAGTATTTCAACAGTATCCCATATAATTACGGTAAGGCCTTGTTTCGAAGTTTTCTACGATACTACACAATTACGTCTACAACGTCTATCTATAGCTGTTTCTGTTTGACATTCCGTTATATCGACGTCATCCCCGCGGTTACGCCGTCTAACCGATTCCTGGTATTAACCGCGTTTCCAAAGTACAGCTTCAAGTAATAATATCTGGTATCAGCGGGGAATATTACGATACGGCTTATATTTCAAATATAGCTTATGGTTTTTCCGATTCGGATGTTTAGAACAAAATACAGGGTAGGAACAATAACCCGTTCATACTATACAATATACATACTTAAAGTTTGCGCGTGACAGTCGATATTACTCATAAACCTAACAACTACTTTACGAGTCTGTGTTCTACTCGTAGAAAATCAAACAGAAACGTAAGTGAAATGGAAATCGCACTGTGCCAAATATTATAGTAACCTCATAGATTCCTGCTATTATAGTACCTACTATCTGTCGAAAGTTTAACAATTGTCTCTACATATTGGTCTCAATAATGTCATGGATTTAGTTCTTGATTTATGCAGTGGCCTGGTTATCCATGTGGCTTGCATTTTCACATTTTTTGTTTTCTTTAAGAGTATTTGATGTATCGCTGAAACAAAGCTTTAAATTCATTTCAAGATGTAATTAATAAAATATAAATTGCATATTTATGTATATTTAGATACTTTTTTAATTGTAGAGACATATTTCCCGTTTTCAAGTTTTTAACTGCATTTTGTGATAACTAGTATTTCTTATAGTAATGCGCCTCACATCTCGTGAATTACTTTTCGTGAATTGCCAAAATTTCAATTTATCTTGTAATACGATCGAGATTGATTATATAGACACGAAAGTAAAGGATTTAAAATTTAAATGTACCTAAATAATAGAAAATTGTTAGGTGCTATAATGTATAACCACACAATCCGTAAAAAAATAACAATTTCATAGGTATTTTTATATGTTTTTAAGCGCATAAACTTATGTTTTTTAAGTGCATATTTTATGACCCGACTTCATACAAAAACCAAGTTTATTTTACTAAACGTATTCACTGACAGATTATATAATTGAATATTATTCCGTCGTTTATGCAGTTGTACAACATGATTGAACTACAACTTGCGACCCCCGCCCACCACTCATTCCACCTGGGGGTTTTGACCACTCGAAAATCCTGTTGTGGCTTTTATTGTAATGTAAAATGAACCATTATTGTTTACCTTACCCGTTGATAATTGATTCAGGTAATCTACGCCACGCTGAACCGAGACTTCCGGAGGCCGTTCCAGCAAATACTGTACTTCAAGTGTGGCTCGCTAAACCACATGATGCGCGAGGAATTTTACCATTCGCAGTACGGTGACCCTGAGCCACAGCACTCCACACACTATTGCGTGATACCCGGAGAGCCGAACATAGTGCCTCACCACCCGTCCCCCACCAAGCCGGACGACACGCGGACCACCGATTCCAATCAACAAACCCTGGCGTCCGAGTCGTTCCTCTAGTAGTGACTCAATTATTATATCAAGACGACAACATTAAATTTATGATATTCTTTCGACACGGTGGTACACCTAGAACAGCGGTAGTTGCACCGTCGTGTAACGGGCGGTAGTCGATAATAATAATAATATTATATTGTACAATAATTTTATGCTGCGAGATGAGATTATGTTTGCCGATTTTATTTCATTATATTATCCTCTTCGATTCTGTTACACCAAACGGACTCCGAGTAAAAAAAAAAAAAAAAAACAATAATAAAATATGTTAAACGATTCCAAATGTCGAAAACTGCAAAAATGGTATAACATTATTTAAAATTCATTGTAACATAAACATTATACATAATTTATATATTATCTGTTTTTGTTTTTGTTTTTACAATCGCGCAATAACCACTTAATTACAATTATTCACGGTTTGATATCTGATTACAAAATCGTCCCGGAGTTTGACATATTAGTTTTAACCTTAATTATCTTCAATTTTATTACCTATATCAGAAACCTTTTACGATGATTCAATTGTTTTGTAGACAATAGAGCGTGATCAAAGATGTTAAAAAACGAGTAATTTATGTGAAAATTGTATGTAATATTATCTAATTGATTTTGTGTAGTTTGTCTTCCATTGTGATCACTTTGATATCCATTTATTCGGACGCATTACTCTTATATACGTATGTGTAGTCAGTAAACATTGTGTAGGTACTAATTTATTTTCTCTGAACTACTGTAATAAATTGAATACTTTCAATTCATTTTCATTTTTCAGTTCATTATTATTTGTATCTTCCATTCAATGTTGAACAACGCATTTGGAAAACAATATTAAGCAACTCATACTTATTCACATGCATAAACAATTATGGAAATATTTTATAAAAATATGTTTCCAATAACTATAAGTACTTAATATAACCAGAATAATATGCACTCCAATCATAAAAATAAGAAATTAATCGCATCAGATTGCTCATGGTTACACATTTTTGTAAAAATTTATCTAATGCCGTTTTCAATATTGAAATAAATTAAATTATCTATTGATTTTGAACTAAATATTATTTTTTTTATTGATCTTAAGCATCGGCAACTATGGCCATTAGCATTTTGTTGGGGGTTACCGTTGGTTGAGGAACACATGCATGTGGGACGAGGATTTGTCTCTAAAACCCGGGTGGTCACCCATCCGGGAACTAGTGACGCCGTCCGATGATTGACCTCGAAACATGTGAATGACTTGGGCTAACCACCAAGCCAAACCAGAACCCCTATGTCATATTTTTTGTACCCACTGATAATATTTTGCTTATTGAACTGTACATTTTTATATTCTTTGTTGAAACTTATCTTCACGGCTATTTAAAATGTACCATATACCTACGACCTACCAAATAATAGTTTTTTATTAAATATGTTCACTTAATATATATAAAATTATACTAATGAGCAGTTAAATTAAAAATTATGTTATGATAATACAAAAATCATCAAGATAATTTAGTTAAGTTGTATTTGAGTTGATTTCAGAATGATATATACAATAATAAACAACACTTAACAAATAATAATAATTATCGTCTGGTTGCCTATTATAGTATTGAAACATTTTTAAATAGTTTATTAATTATTCAATGAAAAATGATAATTTTTCTTCGTTGAAACACTTATAAAGTATAAACACATGAGTTGTATCAAATACATAATACAATTATTTATTAAATCACATAGGTAGGTATTTTGTTTTTTAGAAGACGTATTAAATAAATGTGAATAAAATAAAACCGATGGATATTTTAAGTATAAATATTACAAATAGGTACTGACGGTAAGGACTTCAATTATTTTACAGTTAAACAGTAGTTCGGAAAAAAATTATTTAAAGTTAGTTAGTATGTTCTTAAAGTATTTAAATTTTTATAATGAGCTTTAAGCTTATTTAAATTAAATTTTAATTTAAGCCGTATACATTTTGTTAAATTTTGATTTTAATTAGTAAATGTTGAAAAATTGTGAGAATTGAATTTGATGTAATTATTGTGATAGAACGTGTATTATATTATTACCAATTAAGGAAAAATATATATTGTAAAATCAAAACAAAAAAAATAATAATAGGTACCTAAGCGAAAGTATTATAATTTTTGAAATGTGAAAAAAAGAATAATAATTTATAATAATAATACGCAAACACACACAAACACATATTCAGATTGTATAATACCATATAATATAATACATAACACGCCGAATTTTTTTGTTTGTTTAAAACTTATAGAATGTTTATTATTTTGTGAATAATACGCATAAAATCTTAACAATATATATATATATATCGATAATTTCACGTTACCATTTACGTATGTGCTCGGGATATAATAATATTATTATTGATATTTGGTGAAATTATTATTCAAGTCTTGTGTTCGAACATTATATACCTTTTATTGTTTATGTAATAAAGAGCGAGTGCAATTGTGTTGAAAATTAGCATACTATGCAAACCATCATGTATCTCTCGCCACTTCCCAGGTGTCCTATCCGATGATCATCAACACCCATCTCATTTGCATTATTGGTACTTATCCACTAGTACAACTGAATTCGTCCGCATGTATTGGACATTGTATAGCTTAAATACAATTCACGTTTGTTAATGTTTGACTAACACACCGCCCACATGCTGTGGCCTGTGAATGATAACAAATCCTCATCCACGATATTTATGCAATCCGTCGTCATTGATTTTAAAATGTTTTGAATAGATATATATATAATTTATCCTGCGACACATGTGGACCGTGGACGCCAAAATGGTGGAAGAAAACTGTGAAAACCAGGAGGCATATTTTACGATTACACGTAGGACTTCGGATTGTAACACTTGAATTTTGTTTATGTGAGTTGTGGCACATTGACCCTAGACCGGGAGGGTGTAAGTTATTTGTACCATAATATGTTTTATAGTATGGTTTGGTAGACTTCTACGAACGTATAATGTTGATTCGAAGAAGATTGGAAATTCAACACCACTTTAATCCATTAAACGATTGAAGAATCCTTGTAAATTGTCTACAGGTATGAATGAAAAATACGTAAAATAAGCATATTAAATATGTACTATATGGTATTACATATATAGCATATTTTCAGTTTTATAGAATTTAAGGGTTCTTACTTCTTAGCATTTAACAATAAATCAGGTTTTCAAAATTTAATTTTAAGATCTTTTACTTATAAAATTAATTTTTTAACGTGTTAACAAGGTTTTACCTATAACATAATATCATAAAGAGCACGTCACACTCGCATACTGTGTTGTCTCCTTACAAACGTACAGAATGAAAAATTGTACGTTCGCAATAATATTATATTTTACTCAATAAATTCTAAAATTAGAGTTATAAAATGTTTTTTTTTTTTAAAAAGTATACATATTTACAATCTATATAACAAACAAGGTATAATGAGTAATTGTGGTGACATAAAGAACATTAGACATAAATAACATTAATAGGAAGACTCCCAGCAGTGCCAACTGACCAGAAATTATTATAAAATGTTGTAAAATATAAAGGTAAGATTATTGTATAGGGCATCTCGAAGATTTTTATTGATATTTTTATTAGGAAGCAAGTTATGACTTTTTTAAAACTGTACATTTTTCAAACTCTTTTAAATGATCATAACTTACCTTTAAATCATCATAACAATAAAATCCTTCAAAATACCCCCGATCTTACCTTTAAATTGTATTATGCGTTAATTTGTTCTAATTTTATAAATAACAAAGTAAAATCGATTATTGTTAATGTAAAATTTGCTATGTTATACGTTTGTAAGACGAAGACATCACATGCGAGTGTGGCTTCCTTTTAATAGTAATTTTTCAAAGGAATCTGTAGGTCGTAAAAATCGAGATTACGAGTGGCGATGGTGGTGGAAAATTAAATTAGAATAATTCTGTATTTCTTTCTCCAGGTTAAAAGTCCCCGAAAAAAAACTTAAAATGATGAGGTACTGCAAAGCTTTTTATTACAGTAAGTAAAACATATTTTTTAGTTCAAAACTTGTTAAAAATAAAAATAATTAAATGCATTTTGTAGGTCCATTATTCTGAATTTTTAGGGTGTATATAGTGTATACTCATTTTTGGGGTTTTTTTTAGCATTATTAATAAATAATATAATACAAACAAAATATATCAATAAAATACATGTGAACCTATGTGTTGTATGAACATTGGAGTATTCAACCACCCAAAGCCATAATATGAAAACAGAATACAGTTGCCTATTTATACACACATTTAAAGAAAATAATAAATCACATTCGCTCTAACAATCTCTCAAGCCATACTTGTTAGTGCAATAGCATTATTAATTTCAACATTCTATATTCATTTCTACTATATAGATAGGTACAATAAAACATTAATAATAAACTACACGCCCACATCGCAATTCCCAAGTCGCAACAATAGATACACTTTAATATAGTATGCATTTTATTATTATTATATTTACCATAAACCACTCTCATGTTATATACGTTAATATTGATGTAATGATTTGATACGAATATTCTAAAAATAAAGTTTTTATAATTCATGGTTTCAATAATTTTAATGGATATTTTATTCCAACGGTATACAATATAGGTACATTTATTTGTCATTTCATTCAAAATGAACACATTCATAACCATGACCTACCTACAGGGACAGAAACCGTTACAAATTTTAACGGTTTCGGTTTCGGTTTTGAGAACGGTTTATAAAATTTTCTGGTTTTGGTTTAGGTTTAAAGATCGGTTTTTTAAATTTTTCGGTTTTGGTTTCGGTTTCAAAAAAGGGTTTTTTAAATTTATCGGTTTCAAAAACCACGGTTTTCAAAAATTTTCGGTTACGGTTTTTAGTTTCCAGTAATAATTTTTTTTTTTTCAATGGTATCGAGAGTCGATGGAGGTTGTTGGACGTTGGTCGCAGTACTTCTTCCCAA